GTTACGCCTCGATGACTATAAGTGCCATTGCGCTGTCTGGCGTTTCCGACCATCACCTCGTTCATCGGCACTCACCTGCACTCATTGCTGCCGTCGAGACTTCTCTTACACTTTCAGTTCTCTGCTTCAGACGGACATGTCCCAGCTACCGGCCCAGCCATCGTGTAGGCCACCGGGTCACTTGTCAGACGAAGGATACCTTGCCTATCAACAACCCACTGCCGCAGGCTCGTCGAAGTCAGCTAAGGTCTCGTCAGAGTCTGCCCAACGTGGCTCTCAATATCTCCGCAATAGCCCAGCGGGCATGAATGCTCAGTCCGCCGTTACAGGTCTGCGACGATCGCCTGCATCACCTGACGCAATTGACATCGATCGCCTCCTGGCTCAGCTTCAAGACTCAACAACAGAGCCGTCCTCGAGGCATGCAAGAGAAGCCCAACTCAGCCCCGGCTCAGAACAGACCGGAAACAGATCTCTCGAAAATCGCATGCTGTCTGGCGTACAATCAGATTTGCCCATGTAGGCATAGCTACAAACGGTGTATAAAAGTACTAATCATAAATAGGCACAGCATTGCAGAACGATTAGAACGACTGAAGAAGGGTCTCTGCAGACTCGAAGAGGCCAAAGAATTCCAACGGAGTAAAGTTGGCGCCACGAACAACCAGTGAGCTACCTTGACTCCACTACAGGCATGTAGCACAATTCTTACGGTATTAGACTCGGGCGTATCAACGAGGATGTGAGAAAAATCAAGACGTCTATAGACTCGTTGATGCCGCCACTTCCATTCGCTGGGAACAGTTTTGGGGACGGAACCCAATGAAGGACGACAATCTCGGTCCGAAAGTCTTGAAAGGATGGCACTCTACCATCGCCAGTTGAACGCTAGACAACATGATAGATAGGAAGTCACCCTGGGTACTCGGTTCCTCCACAATGCCCTGCACATCAGCCGGTTCTGGCGCCTTCATCTCTTCGACTGCTCGACATCGCGGCATCTACCTATACGATGATGCGACTGCCTCATCTTACGACGGCCGTCGGTTGGCCAGGTCATGTCGCAGCGAACCCCTCAGGCCTGACGAGCGTCGCACTGCCTTCAATGCTTTCTGTCTGAACTTGACCAACACGGGTTGGGCTCGAAGTCGTTCTTACTGTGTACAAACCACCATAGTCAGCGTTAGGAGAATATGGCCACTGTCGAAGCCGATGATGAATATGTTCAAGTAGCACTTGATTGCACGCTGCCACTCGCACTGTCGTATATTATCCTGACCCCACATTTTTTGTTTGCAAACCAGTCGCTCAAGCCGTTACTAGAGGTCTGCGGAAGCCCATCACAGCAGTTTGCGGATTCTCAAACATTGGTAATGTTTGTGAGAGGGGAAGCGACATGTGCACAATACTGTGGTTGCTTGGGCTCACGCGAAGGTTGGGGGATCCAACCCAGATGACCTCTAAGTAGATCCTGCTACCGGGCCCTCGTATGAGATATCATGTCGAAAACGTGCCATAACTCCCGATCTACCATGGCCTCATCCCGGCCGCCCTCCATAGAATCCCAATAAGCAAACAAACTCGACGCACGCTATTTCTGTGCGTCAATCTCCGGCTTCCAGCTCTCTACTCCTCTCTCCCTCTCGAAACGGGTGTCGCAGCTTTGATCGTAGCGATGCTCGAGAATTGTGATTACAGAGACGGTCTGCCAGCCGGTCGCGACGGCCGTTGCTGCGACTTCGATTTCGAGCTTACTTACGCGTTGTTGTGCTGATCCAGGATCTGGTTTCGGCATAACTGACGTCGACATCTGTGGCTTTCAATAGGTTAGTGCCGAACGTGGTGCAGCAAACGGGGTATCATACTTGGCATTATGTTCTCCCAAAAGACCATGGTTCAAACTCGCCGAGAAAGACCCTCACATCTATTGAAGTGTGCATAGCGGCCACCGGAGCCATTGGAGTATGGGTCAGCAGTTTCGGTAGGTAGCTAAATGATAGCCTCTTCTCAATTGTCGAGGAGGCCAGCAAGACGTATCGTTTTGTCGATGTTTTCCACGAGCAGGAGTGTATATGGAAGACAACGGACTCATGACGATGAATGGAAGTCGAAAGATCTAGGCAGCTAGCCGGACTATTCACAACTTCAAGCTTTCGTTCCATCACGTCTTACACCATCGCTGAACTAGCACATCGGTGATAGCGGGCCGCTTTTGGGTGAAGCAGGAGCCTCAAGCACAGCCTGACCAAAGCAGCAAGGGGACGTTCTTATGATGGAGCCGTTGGACTCGTATGTATACTGAAGTTATCTCTAACCCTTGAATACTAGTCCACCCGCCTGTGGCTCTGACCGATTCTGGGTCATTGCCGCCCATCCCGAGATCAACTTGTTCGCTGCTGGCCACGATAACGGTGTCATGGTCTTCAAGCTGGAGAGAGAGAGAGACCGGCATCATCAGTATACCAGAACAACCTCTTCTACATCACCAAGGAGAAGCACGTCAGATCCTACGACTTCCAGAAGAGTACCGAAAGCCCGACTTTGCTCTCTCTCAAGAAGCTCGGAAGCCCTTGGACGCCTCCACGAACCCTGTCGTACAACCCGGCCGAACGCTCCGTCCTCGTCACCTCTCCCTCCGACAGCGGATCTTACGAACTGATCAACCTTCCTCGTGATGGATCTGGTGCCATTGAGCCTGCCGAGTCGAAGCGCGGCCAGGGCAACTCCGCCATCTTCGTCGCCCGCAACCGCTTCGCTGTGCTGAACACGTCTAGCCAGACAATTGACATCAAGGATCTTTCCAACAACACCACCCGTTCCTTCAAGCCTCCCGTCGGAACCAGCGACATCTACTTCGGTGGTACCGGCAACCTCCTCATCATTACGCCCACCGCTGTGCATCTTTACGACATTGGGCAGAAGAAGAGCGTCGCCGAGTTGGCTGTCAACGGCGTCAAGTACGTTGTGTGGTCGAATGACGGACTGTACGCGGCTCTTTTGAGCAAGCACAACGTCACCATCGTGACGAAGACCCTCGAGCAGGTCAGCACATTGCACGAGACTATCTGTATCAAGAGCGCAACCTGGGATGATGCTGGTGTTCTGCTGTACTCGACCCTCAACCACATCAAGTACACGCTTCTGAATGGGACAATGGTATCGTCCGTACCCTTGACCAGACTGTCTATCTGTTCCGCGTCAAGGGCCGTAACGTCTACTGCCTTGACAGAGCGGCCAAGCCCAAGGTTCTCCACGTCGATCCCACCGAATACCGATTCAAGCTGGCGCTCGTCAAGCGTAACTACGAGGAGATGCTCCACATCATCCAGAACTCCAGTCTTGTTGGTCAATCCATCATCTCCTATCTTCAAAAGAAGGGATACCCCGAAATTGCTCTGCAGTTCGTGCAGGACCCCGCGACCCGCTTTGAGTCTGGATCGAGTGCGGAAACCTGGACGTTGCCGTCGAGACTGCCAAGGAGCTGGACCGTCCTAAGCTTTGGCAGAGGCTGAGCGCTGAGGCTTTGGCTCACGGAAACCACCAGGTCGTTGAGATGGCTTACCCAAAGCTCAAGCAGTTCGACAAGCTTTCGTTCCTGTACTTGTCTACTGGTGATCACTCAAAGCTGGCACGTATGGCCAAGATTGCCGAGCACAGAGGTGACTTTACTGCACGTTTCCAGAACGCCCTCTACCTCGGCAAGGTTAAGGACAGGATCCAGATGTTCAAGGAAATTGACCTCTGTAAGTTGTTCCAACATAAGCATTAGTAAGATCTCGACTAACAAGATACAGACCCATTGGCATACATGACCGCCAAGTCTCACGGTTTGGAGGAGGAGTGCCAGGCTATTCTCGAGGCCACTGGTCTCACCGAGGACCAACTGGAGACACCTACGATTGAGGAGGCTCTGACTCCTCCTAGGCCTGTCGTCCCCACGTTCAAGGCAAACTGGCCTACCAAGGCTACTTCCCAGTCTGTCTTCGAGAAGGCCCTACTTGGCCAGGTTGAGGGACTATCTTTGGAGGATACCCCTGCAGCTGCCAATGGCTTCGACGATGACGTCGAGGAGGATGCCGCTGCGAAGAAGAACAGCAACCTCATTGACGTTGATGATGACGAGCATGCGGCAGGCTGGGATCTGGGTGACGATGTCGTTCCCGAGATTGAGGGCGACTTCGTGAACGTTGACAGTGCCGACGCTGGTGGCGCTGGAAGCAGCGAGGCCGATCTCTGGGCTCGTAACTCTCCTTTGCCTGTGGATCATGTTGCCGGTGGCTCATTTGAGTCAGCAATGCAACTCCTCAACAGACAAGTGGGAGCAGTCAACTTCGCGCCGCTGAAGCCCCGCTTCCTCGAAGTTTACCAGGCATCAAAAACGTATCTCCCGGCCTCTGCAAACCTTCCTCCGTTGATTAACTATGTTCGACGTACGATTGAGGAGATGGACCCTAGAAAGGTGTTGCCGATTGTGCCCAGGGATCTCGAGTTCCTGCCGACCAACGATCTGCAACAGGGGTACAACTCGATGAAGACGAACAAGCTCGAGGACGGTCTTCAGATCTTCAAGGGTATCCTCCACGCCACCTTTATCAACGCCGTTTCAAGCGAAGGCGAGGTCGCCGAGGCGAAGAAGCTCATCACATCCGCCAGCGAATATGCCGTGGCCATGGAGATCGAGCTTAGCCGTCGCAAGCTCGGCCCTACTGGCGAGCAGCTCAAGCGCAACCTTGAGTTGTCAGCCTATTTTACCATCCCCAAGATGGAGGTTCTTCATCGCCAGCTGGCCCTGCACAACGCGATGCAATTGGCGATAAGAAACAAGAACTACGGTTCAGCACTGAGCTTTGCCAACCGCATTATTGCCAATGGCGGCTCCAGCAAGCTGATCGAAAACGTGAGCATCAACATTCCATCCCTACGATTTACCAGACTGACACTCTTTACAGGCCAAGAAAGCCAAGGCTCAATGCAAGCGCAACCCCTCGGATACGATTGAGATTGAGTTTGACCAGTTTGCCGAGTTTGATATCTGCGCAGCCAGCCACTCACCTATTTACAGCGGCACTTCCTACGAGGAGTGCGCCTTTGACGGCTCCAAGTACCACAGCAAGTACAGGGGCACCGTTTGCAAGGTCTGCGGGGTGTGCGAGGTTGGCAAGCACGGCAGTGGCCTGAAGCTCTTTGCGTAGAGAGCTAGGTAGTATGATAGATGTCGCCGACCCATGATGGGGTGAAGACTGCATGATTTGGTGCAGTGACGCTCGGCCAATGGGGGAATTGGTCTTGGGAAAAGTTTACAGTAGACAGACTGGAGTTTCTGATGAACCCCCCGGGCTTCTGATTGTTAGCAATAGCTTTGTGGGAGACGAATATATGTCATCATTTGATCCATGACTCTCACGTGTCAGCGTAAGTGAGAGTTCGATGTCGGTGACAGTGCGTCGCTAGTCCTCGCCCGCCTGCGCCGTGCCAGGACGCGCCGTCCACTTGGATCAACAAGGTTGATGAACATACATTTCAGGCTTGTCTAGAACGCATACATGATGAGATCGTTGACGCCCGACCTGGTTTCCTGTATCCGAGCTTTCCTTCTTTCATGGTCTGTCTAATCGCATGAATATTAATACATCAAGAACACGCCCGCGTTTCCTCTGCAACCCACGTCTACACAATGGTCTCCAATTTCCTGGCGCATCCCAACGCATTCTCTATCACCATCTGGCTCATCTCCTTCTCGATGGTGCCGTCTTCGGCGGTGTCGGGGAAGAAGATGTGGCCCTCCTTCAGGATCCAGCCGCGGGCCTAGGCGAAGGAGATGACGTCGCCCTCGGAGTCGAGGAAGAGGAGGGATTTTGCGGGGCTAATGGGCAGGCTTGAGTATGCGCGCTCGCTGCTTGAGGCGATTTCGGAGCGGATTTGGAAGGTGAGGATCTTAAAGAAAGCGGGTGTTAGCATCCATCAAAAGTGTTTTCTGTTCTGCGCAGATTCCGTCTTGGGAGTATTGACTCCGGAAGAAATATGCAACGGGAGGAACCAAGTACATACCTCTGAGAAGACACCGTACTCCTTACTGGGCCCCTCGCGGCTCTTAAGGGCGTTCCACACGCGGTCGTAGCTGCCCTCCATCAACCACCTCTCGAGACGGATAGGGTAGCCCAGGTACTTGTCGCCCTCGACGGCGCTGCTATCGCCGCCGCTCTCGCGGTTAGCCAGGCTCTCGAGCTCCGAGTGGAACTCGGCGTAGCGGCCCTGGGTGAGGAGGAGGAGCAGGTAGAGGCCGGTCACCTTGTTGCGCTCGGGGACATTGGGCGGGAGGACGTTGGAGGAAAGCTCGTAAAAAGGCTGGAGCTGCTAGACGTAGCGGGTGAAGGCGTCTGGATTCTTTGCGCGGATGGAGGCGAGGGCGCCCAGCTCTTAGGTCTCGCGGGCGAGGGCGAGGAGCTGGGGGGGAAGTTTTGGGGTTCGAAAGGGTGAGGGTGTTGAGCTGGAGGTGGAGTTTTGCTTTGAAGAGGAGGGCGGAGGATTCGGTGTAAGGAGCGAGGAGCCCTTGGTCTTGAGCTGGGTAAGGACCTGTTGGAGGTTGCGGCCCGCCATTTTTGGTGGTTGTGATGTATGTGTGCTGCGGGGTGCATTGGGTTGGTAGTGGTCCGGTTGTCAGGGGACTGATGTCGGCAGTGGTCGTGGAACATCAGCAGATAGTTGTTGTTATTGGAGATCGACTGACAATTTTGCCTCGTTGTGATTTCGTGGAGAGGAAATGGAGAGACGTGGGTGTGTAGTGGTGTTGATCGTGTCAAAGGTTGGAGTGTCCAGATGCTAAGGCAAAGGTAGGTTCGACGCTTTGGGTGTTTGGCTCAGCAGGCTGAGAGGCTGACGAAAGGTGCCGTCAAGCTGGCCAAGTCCGTGCAGGGGTCCTGCCCGCTATGGCGCTAGCCATTCTAGGTTTAGGCAGCTATGGAGCTGCCTTGGAGCTGGTCATCGACGGAAGCGTCGATTGCTTTGCTGAGGTAATGCAGCTGGTCCACGTGATGCAGAGTCCGACGGTATCGCCGGCCCCGGTCCCTTGTTCCGCTTTAGATTTCCCCAATTGCCGGCACCCCGCCGTGCCGGGTTCCGGCAGCATCTGGGAGAGTCCTGCTTATCTTCCCGCACCTCCCATCCGGCAAGTCGGCATCGCGACGCGTATGGCATTCGGGCAGTTGGCGGAAGCTTATTTTCGACTGACGAGCTAGCGTACCTGGTCAAGATCTACTTGTGTCGACGAGGATGCAAGCGAAACCGAACTTATCTGTCTAGTCTCACCGAGGTCGGGCACCTTGGCTCGCATCACGCGTAAATAGCCTGATACGTGCTGCTCCTGAATGCTGAGTAGCGAGACGACTCTACCTCAAACTCGCCATCGTAAGGCATTCGCAGGGCTTGCGGGCTTAACCGACTCGACCTGTCTCGGTACTCGTGGCGATTGTTCTCTGAGATAACGGGCACACTTGCAGGCCAAGGTTCTCAACTTCTGATTGCGGCATGCTCATTCAAATTGATGTTAGTACTGTCATGCTGTGCCCTCATACTAGACTGCTGACCGTCAGGAGGTGATTCTCAAGGTCATTAGGAACTGTATTTTCTCAATTTCATTCCCGCTAAAGGAGACTTCCAAGTCCTTCCAAAGTAAAACACGCTCCCAGGACACTCGCCCCTAGAGTAAACCCGCTATGAAATTACAATCTTCTTGATATAGCTCATCATCTCATTCTCCTCCTTATCAAACGAATCAAAGAAAGGCTCAACCCGCAACAACTTCTCAATCTCCTCTTGGTCGGGAATCTTCTGTCTCATGTAGTTGACGGGTCCATCCTCAATCGAGTGCGGAATGAACACGGACGCGTTGGTCGTGATGGGCGTGCCATCCTCCCGGATCCCCATGCCCACCGGATCGCCATCGACGAACCACATACCCAGCACGGGATACCACGAGCTGCCCTTAGCATCCTTGAATTCGGGCAACACAGCGAGCTCCTGCACAATGTACCCTTCCGCGCCGTAGTCTCCCGTCGACGCGTCCTGGAGGATCTCGCCGTCCTTCTTGAGTACCACGTCGGCGCCCTCGCGCGCAAAGATGGGCTTGCGCGCAAAGCTCGTCATGGAGGCCGGCGTCTCGTTGTCAAAGTATGTGGGGAGCAGCCACTTGCCCCGCGGATCGTCCTTAAACATGTCCCAGAGAACGGCAAAGACGGCCTTGTTGCTCCAGAGAAGCTTGTACGGCGGCTCGATCCAAACCGTTCCCCCCATGTAGTTCCCTTCCTCGTCGCGCTTGCCAATGTTCTCCATGTCCTCGAAACACCCCTCGCCAAACTGCTGGTCGACCATGTACTCCCACGGGTACAGCTTGAAGATGACGTCGATATGCTCCCCCTGCGCATCGTAGAACCGCCCGTCCTTTTTGGATTTCGCAATCTCCTCCATCGTCAGCGCTTTTGTTGTCCACCCAGCCTGTTGACACGTCTCCATCAGGAGCATGGTATTCATCGCATCCTCACCCGTGGCCTCTCCCTCGCCGACAGCGAAATGCACCGTTGGCTTGTGGCCAAGCTCCTTCTCGACGAGCGTCATGTTGCGCTTCCAGCCCTCGATGAGCTTCTCCGTGATGGTGTTGAACTGGTCGTTGCCGTGACCCGTCTGCTCCATCCACAGCCACTGAATCGACGCCGCCTCGAGCAGCGACGTCGGCGTGTCGGCGTTGAACTCGTAGAATTTCGGCACGCGCAGCCGGGGGTCGGGGTGCTCGAGGCCGCCGAAGCAGATGTCGAAGCGGCCGTAGATGCTGCCCCAGGCCGGTTCGCGGTCCCAAGAGGCCTTTATTTGTTTCAAGGCGAAGGCGGGGACCGCCATTTTCTTGGTGATGATGTCTGGATGCTCTACGAGGTAGTCTGCTGCTTCACAGCACATTGCGAACACGTCTCTGGCGGCTTCTTCGATGAGGTTCATCTCTTGTTCGGTGAAGGAGTAGTAACGGTCGTCTGGCCAGTACGGCTCCGAGGCGCCAGAGGCCACGAGGTCCGCGAAGACGAGGCCTTGGCTTTGGACCAGGCGGGTGGCGTTTGGCCTCTTTTGTACTGGGACACGGCGCATTTTTGTTATTCTCTTGGTTCAAGACGAGGTCAGAAAGGAGATTTTGGAATATGGACGTTGTAAAACCAGGCAGAGTGTATGAGGGAACTCGAAGGACAGACACGACGGTCCTAGGCCACTGCCCCCAACGGCAATCTCACATACTTATTCACCAGCAGGTCTGCTCTTGGGCAGTCGCCAGGCCTACTCAAAGTTCGGATGAGGCGGGGATCACCCCTAACCTCCAACACCCTGAATCCTGATACGGACACTTTTCTGATTGTCCCGATCCTACGGGTACTTACTTTGAGTTGGGGTTTGATGGGTGGATGGGAAATGTCCCCAGTTAAGTTTGCCGCTAGAAGAAGTCTAATTCAAACGAGGCTTTTCAGAAACTTTGATATCTCCTCAGGATCCTATTATGATCTGCTCCCTCTCTCTTTCTTTCTGCCCCCAAAGACACGTTGCCGTTTAACCGTATTACAGGGATGGTTGCAACTCACGGACACTGCGCGCTGATCTCTAGCCTTTTCTGTCTATATCCACCCTGCGAGGGTGCTGGCAGTCGATTACCTGGAATTCCCTGCTGTCTGGCATACCCAAAATCTGTAGGAAACAGAGGTACTGCAGCACTATTGGTTAACTACATAGATTTGCAAGCTCTTATTGGCTCTACCTCGCCCTTGGCGAAAGTGCTGTCCATCCGCACCCGATGGGAGAGCGGGGCGTAGAAATTTGAAGTTGGGGCGGTAGGCGCTAATTGGGTAGGGAAAGTGGGTTGCTGCCCGGATAGCAAGACTCAGATAGAAATCTTGCCGTTCAAAGTTCTTGAACTAAATAATTAAGTCAGATGACGGTAAGATACAGTCGGGGAATCATGGAAATCTCGAGTCTGCCTGCGGCATGGCCGAGTTCCTCGCGCCGCAACTTACCTGTGTCGGTAATTAGAAGGCCTCATCATATCATCCATCTCTGGCGTCTAGTCGAGTGACATAAATAGGAGGCTTTCATCCTACAATGGAAAGGCCCGCTCCTCCTCATCATCAAGCACTCGACTCTTTTAACAACGATATTTCTGATCACAAACCATCTTCTAAAACATCTTCACTAAAATATTTTTACTTCTAAATCCTCTTCAAGTCTAAAACTTTGCTTCAACCCCTTTCCACCACAAAAACCAACATTAAAAAAAAAACATCCACAATGAAGACCCAACACATCACCCTCCCCACCATACAAATCGCGGCCGCTGCCTTCTTCGCTGCCTCAGCCGAAGCGAAGGTTTACTGCGCCGACACCGCGGGCAAAGTCGTCGCCCAAGCTAGCTGCGACGGCAACCAGCCCGCAAAGACGTTTTTCCTTGCCGAGCACGAGGGCGACGACCTCCAGCTCGGGGACTTCATTGCCGAAGATAAAGTCGACGCGTCGCACTCCGTCGCTCGCGGCCTCGAAACCCTCGAGACCGAGGCCGAGCAGGTTAGCGGCGGGTTCGGGCGTAGGTCGCCGCAGAGGCAGTGTGATCCATCTCTTGGACACTGCGTTGTTAGTGGTGTTGGCAAGGGTGGTAACAATGGTGGTTGATCTAATGGTTCTTAGAGTATCAGTCTTATGGTTTTTGGTAATCTCTGGGAAGACTTTGAATAGGCTATGGTGGCTCTACTAGGTCTGTGACAGAACCTGGGATACCCTCGCTTAGTTGAAACTCACCACACACGGTCATTACTCAGTTAACCGCACAGTCGGGCCAGGATTGCTCTACAAGGGATAGATGCCACTCGTTTATATAGATCTACTGCAGGTCCAGCATATCACTCTAGGGAATACAACCATCCTTATCCCCATCCATTATGCAACTGCTGACCATACTGAAGATTTGTCAACAAGCTTTAGTGATTGGGACCTGTTGATGTTGATGAACCTTAATGGTCGCGAACATACAAGAACTGCGTTCGAGAACCTCTGCAGTGCGGTGACGCCCAAGCTCGAAGTGAAGACAATATTCCGCCCTGAGCTTGGGGGACTTTCTCTCATCGGCATAAGTTTGGCATTAGTTAGTGAAGCGAGGGGAACTCTGTTGAGGATTACCATGCCCATAAATATTCCATAAAAACAGATGGATCGTTAGGAAGTTGAGCGAGAGGCTCGTATAGCTGAAAAGGGTATATTTCGCACTTATTAGGGTCCAATGTAATACACGAGAAGGTTATCCAGGGTTCGGTCTGTGTACATAAGTAACAACATCAGGAACATGGAATCAAGGAGATGGGTTGATGTTATTTTTCAAAGATTGTTAAGGCCGTAATATATTGCTTGATCGTTTCACCCCTTTCCTGTGGGAAGCTTAAAAGATGGGTATCTCCAGGGCTGGTATCCTAGAAATGTTGTGCCTAACAGCCAGTAAATGCTGGTAACGCCTGAAAGCTGGTTTGATACGGAGTACCAACATAAGATGTGACACCTATCCTACACTACTGGCGTTTTGCTTCAACATAACGAGCCGGAAAGTTACACAAAGTACCTTTGAAGTAGTAAATTACCCAAAAACCATATGTCCCAGCCAACACCCGGATGTTGCAGACAAAGGAAAGTAAGCAAAACAGATGAAAACAAACGAATACGAAAATCATGTACGCTTGATAGAGTTTGCCATGAATGTGATTCTCTCAAGTTCCTCCTGGAGTGCCTGGTGGTGTTGATCGATAACACTAGACATGCGTCCCTTGGTGGAAGGGAAAGATATCGAACAGATGGTTGCATCGGGACAAGATGGTGTAGACGGCAACGATTTATGCCTGGCCGCCGAAGGGTGCCAGTGGCGCAACCTCTTGATAAGAGGATCAATGTGTTCGCGAACGTGCGTCAGGACCAGGTGCGCGGCAACGAGTCGCTGCACCTCATTGTCCAGAAAGTAACTTCCGACGAACGAGGTGATGGCTATGCGCCCGAAGAGCGAAAACTGTGATTGGTCCATATCTTGGGACGAACCGTCGTCACCAAGGATCGCCGCGTACCAGCCGAGGGCCTTGTGTACGGCCAGGTACACCAAAACAAGCACTTCTTGTCGCATGAAGCAGCGGCAGTCGAGGAGATTGATGAGCCTGCGGAGGATCTCCCGGTTGTGCGATATGACGGTGCCCATCTCGCGGGGGGTGTCGTCGAGTAGGCGCTCAAGATGGGACGTGCACGCAGGGTCCTTGACGGCGGTGAGGCAACCTTGCGCGAGCACATGAAAGTCGGAGACAATTTCCAGGACCTCCATGGTGCAGTCATGAATTTTGCTGTGACGAGAGAGACCGTCGTCTGAGTACGTGCTAGAGCTGCTGCGGGCCGAGTCGACTGTGCCGGAACGTCTCAGTGGTGCGTCCATGAATTGCTGCATTTTGTGATCCACAGGTTGGTAGGAAAGGGAGGTTATGTCATATTCCTGTGTCATTGGGGTCGGCATCGCCGCAGATGAGTTTTTCGTCGAAGCGGCGGACAAGTCGTTCAGAGTTATTGGGACCCCAAAGTCCGCAGTCGCGTCAAAGCAGAGGTCCTGGTCCGATAGGTTGTCAGAAACCGAGGTGCTTTCCAACAGCCACATCATCTCATCCTCGAGGTTGGTGTGGTGTTCCGAAGGCTGCTCTGACATACGGCGTTCTTCTTGTTGCTGCTGTTGTGAGATCTGAGAAACGGTAGAGGCGTTGGACATGGCCAGCGCCGGGTCGTCCCTCATCACAAGGGATATCGTCGCCTGGGTATCTGACGACGAGCTTGGCGAGGCGAGAACGCGAGGGCGCTCACCGGTCCGCATTGACATGCTGTAAGCACACGCAAGGCCCTTTGTCTCCCAGCGTTGACATTTTGGGCGCTGTTTTCCGCAACGAATCTTTTGAGAGCTGCAGGCGTTGCAGGACTTGCGGACCTTCCTTCTCTTGCGGTTGAAAACAAGAGAGATATCCTCTCTGGGTGTTTCCGTCGACATTGCCTTGTTCAGCAGTTTGAAAATGAAGATCCGGTCTTCTTGAATCAGGGTTGCACGCTAAGCTGAATGGTTGCCACCCAAATTGAAAAGTCTTGGCCGGCAGTTCTTGGATATATAAAGACGTTCAAGACGAGAAAGTAAGTTGTGAACCGCAGATGCTTCATGCCTCTTCAGCAGACAAGAATGGGTGTGTATAAAGAGCTTAGATATGGAGAGACAGAGCTAAAGAAGCAGAGAACGCGAGTTCATCGTCACTGCGCATTGAGCGTCTTGCTGAAGTTGGCGAGCATAAGGAGCTTAAGTAGAGTATCTCCTTAATCTTGCATCGCGATGGAAGCCTTCGTCTCGAGCCAAGTCCTTGCTCGGATGGAAAGTTAGTTAGACGTAAGTTTGCGAGACGTCGGAAGCCAGCGGGGCGATAGCCATTATCATACAACTTCACCGAAGTTAGTGATATCTTATTAGATAACCCAGCGCTGTGGACGATCGAGAAGACTGGGATTAAAATCGGCTCTGACAGATGCCCAAGGTCTTGCGAGCTTAATCCTGTTGCCTTCCCAAGCAAAGCATCACAACGCCTTTCTCACAGACCCACTTGTGAGAATATCTGCCAACCCTCAAGAAGCATTCTCGTGCCTACAAGCACCCCGAAAGACCCGAAAGGTGTTGTGGGTGTGAATAAGACTGGGCTGAATCCTCGATTAGGCAAGTCGTGACAATGGGGACGGCCCCGCCGTGTCTTTCTCCTCCTAAGTGGATTCCCGGTGTTTCGTCTTGCCGAACCTGATTGTCCGAGTGTTCCGCTGCAGTGGGGCCAATCGGAGCCACAACTTCGCGTCTGCAGGGTCAAATGAATCAGTGAAGAGAGAGGGGTTGGGAGGAATACCTACCCATTCCTCTTTTAGAGTTTTCAGCTGCTTAACCTTGTCCCCAACGCCGCGACAGCGGTGCCGCCCACAAGCGATCTCGCTCGAATGTGTGGAGGAAGTGTCCAGCAAGCTTTGCCCTATTTCTGAGTTCGGCGAGCAGGTTTCAGATCATGTAATGACCCAGTCAGAGGCCTCATCGCGGATCCCAGCAAGGCACAAGGTAAGCCCCCACACACCCTGTCCCTTAATAGGGTTATGGCGAGTGCGGGTAAAGTTAAAAGAAACGTACCATGTCTGGTTAAGTACAATTGTACGCATAGAAGTGGAAGGTACAGCGGACTCGGATGCTTCAACAGACGGAATCGCGTAGAGGGGAACCTTGTTACGACCCAACACAGCTTATGTGCCCCACCACGCGCTATGCCCTGTCCAGTCCAGAGACTTGTAACGCGAGGTATTGCCTAAGGTACCTCAGCTACGCCATCTGAACCGCCTGGTTCCCTTCCTGTCACCCCGGCTTCTCTCGCTTTCTACATAGCCGCCCAAGAACAGCCAGAAACGGCTACCTCTATACATTACATAAACCGCGGTCGCTAATCTCTTCCTGCGGGTGATCATTCGAAGTTTCCCGTTCTACAGACTCCCAACAGGGCCACGCGCCCACTTGTCTCCTGGTCGCCAGCCCGACAGTAGTATACGTCTGCAGGATCTGGTACCTCTGACCGTGGTGAAATCGCTTGATTTGACGTGGTCGCTTCCCTCGAGGAGCCCGGCCTTCACGGCGTGTACCGATGCTCTTGTCTATGCCGGACTCGTCCACGAACACCAACTGCTCGGAGCGGTACTGCGAGATCTGGTGCATGTATTCGTCTCGTGGGTCTAGCTTACGCTCTTGAGCGACATTCTATGTGGCTTTCTGGGATCACTTATCCCTCCTCGAGGCCCTGCTAATGCTTAAGCGCGATACGTCGGCTTCGTAGTATTTTTTGGAAGGAAGGCAGCTGTCTGATTCAGAGTCAGACATGAGTCAACAGCAAGGTTCCAACGCAAGTCGCTCAGCATAGGAGGCGCAATCGACTTGGGGCGGCCGGGAGTATTTGTCGGAGTCTCTGCGGTTCCAAAGGCAGTTTCGAGCGGATCCGGCGTACCGTTCGTGGATGACATCCCTCCAAATCGGCTATGCTGTCATCAGTGGCGGTCGTCTCAACCAGCAACTGAATGTAGTCGATGTTTCGAAGAAGATCACGCGAAGAATAAGCAAGGTGAGGCGCCATGATGGGAAAGCCCGTTGCTGACTCTGCTGACCTTCACTGGACTTGTGATGCCAAGTTGGGATATGTATCCATTTTGGACACGGAAGCCATGACTAAACGGAGAGGCCACGGTGTTCATTCGTTCCTGGCGTAAGTCATTTCTGGAGTAATCAGTTTATGTTCGCTGCCGGTACACTGTACGAGATCGCAAGTATCCGCACTGCCAAGAAGAGTCCGTGCGCTTGGAAAATCAAAAGAGTTCAATCCAACAGGACATGCTTTTTGCACAGCTGTATTAGAACGATCTGTATCTGTATCCCAGAAAGACGGAAACCAAATTCGACTTCTACTGTAGTATTGATCAGAGGATTGGGGAATTTTCGATATTTGATTGTGTGAAGAATCATTCGACGTTGTTGGGTTGAGCGCTGTCGAGAAGCTCCGAAACGCGCTACGTGGCACTAGCACGATCTACCGCGTGGCGTCTCTGCGCACGTCCCGACGCGATGGATCTCGAGCTAGATTCGACGTCCATCACCGTTGCGAGGGAGGCGGTGGCAGCGAGCGACGAGGACCTGCCATCACGAAGGGTGCGAAAGCCATCCGCGAAAGCCCAACTGAACCAGACTCATCAAGAGATAATCGACAATGCGACCGACGGAGCGACGGAGGTTGCTGGTGGTGGCCGGCGGACGACGACCAAGCGAGCCACAACCCTGGCCAAGGAACGCGCGAAACCCATAGAGGATGACGACAAAGGGCTGCTCCTGACGATGGGCAAGCAGGTCAAAGAGCTACACACAGCGGTCAAGATCATGTTCGATGCGTGGAAGAAGTCGGAAGCACGGAATAAAAACGTTGAGGCAGAGCTTCGCGTGGTCACTTCGGAGCTGCAAACAGTCAAGAGCGAGCTACAGGCCGTCAAAGGAGAGCTGCAAGCGATGAAAGAACGCGTGGAGGACGAAAGCGCCAAGACGAACGAAAACCTCGAAGCACTCGCAACAGTTGCTGCGACGCGGAA